TGCCACTTTTGTTTTTCCATTTAAGAACACTGTGAAAATATAAGGTAACAACATCACTCGAATTGATTTAATATGTTGAATTTATAGGGGAAATACAAAAAAAATTGAATTTTAGAAGTTTCGATCAAGGTTTTAATTGATTCAGAAGTTCAATCAGGTCTAGTTGTGTTAACATAAACCTCAGCAAGTTTAGCTTCCCTTGGGCTTTGGCGTGAGTAGTTGCTTATGTTTAGGGTGAATTATGCCATCTCACCTAAAAGCAATTGTAAATTGTTGTTAAGGTGGTTTTCTTCTGGAGTCATTTCACTCTGGTTTGAATCTCCTTGGCTGTCATTGTTAGTTAATCCTCTTCTGTCTTCAGGCCCCCTGACTACTCTAATTTCCATTTCAGCCATCTGCTCTAAGGTAAATTCTAGTTCAGGTTAACTTCCTTCTGCATAATTTCTCTAATTCAAAAGATTTAAAAAAGACAAAGACTGGAACTTGGCAATTATAAGAGATCACATTTCATGCCAACTCCAATTTCCTCTTCTCACTATTAAATATCACCTTGTTTCAGTTTATGCCTGCACTGTACTAATTTCCATATGTTCCTCTATGCTCTTCTCCATGGCCTTTTGCAACCCTTGAGTTAATTAAGGTTCAGAAGCCTGTAATCAACAATTCATGATTATCTTAATTATACATGCCTCGACAATTTGATTAAACATGTATCCCTACATTCAGGTTAAACTGCCATGCTATTTTCTCAGGAATCTTTGGGGGGCTGATTTTTTTTTTATGGTACAAGTCTAGGGGACACCCTGCTAACCTATGAATAACTAGGAAGAACGAACATTCTGTGCTTAGTCTCTAATCTCTAAGAACTATGCAAATTTTGCAGATGATAAAATATTTACTCACTAATTCCAAGATGGAAGTGAATGTTCGAAATGCAAATGGCTTCACCGCCCTGGACCTTTTATTACATAGTCAAAGGGATTTAAGGGACATGGAAATTAAAGAATGCCTACAGAAAGCTGGCGCTTCAAGAATGACTAAAGTGCAGTCCATTGCAAATAATCAGGAGATTGAGGAAGTTCTGCCCCCAATACAGGCACAACCCTTAATTCCTAAGGAAACCGATTCCAAACCGGTAGTTGAGAAACATAAGCATACTGATTGGTTGGGAAGAAAAAGAAGTGCATTAATGGTTGTTGCATCGCTGCTTGCAACTGTGGCCTTTCAGGCATCGTTATCCCCACCTGGCGGTGTATGGTCAGATGACTATTCGGTCGATTCGGATGGCAACCCTGCAGAGAATCCACACAAAGCAGGCTTGTCAGTAATGGCCTATCATGATCCACGAAAATATGAGGCGTTCATGATATTGAACACAATTGCCTTCCTTGCATCATTGAGCATAATTTTGTTACTCATCAGTGGACTACCTATGAAACGGCGCAGGTTCATGTGGATTCAGATGGTGACCATGTGGCTAGCAATCTCAGCGTTTACTTCTACCTATTTTGTTGCATTGATGCAAATAACACCAAGACAAGTGAGAACTACGCTGTTCCATGTGAGCAGAATTTCACTGATGATATGGCTGGTGATGATGGGACTCGTGTTTGTAGGTAATATCATTCGGATGACCTTATGGCTGCTTAGAAAGTACGGTTACATCAAGGAAAAGGAGAAAGAGTTTTCACTTTATGTAGAGGAAGAAGAGAATGATGAGTGATGACCTGTGAGAATAAATATATGAAATTTGGGAAGGTTTGCTTCAGTTATATATCATCAAATCTTCATTTACAAATATTGAAAACTCAAGTGGAATGACGATCAATCAGCATTCAAGATTCTCTCTGATGTAGATAGAATTTCAGTAAATTTGCTGTCATTTTATGAACATTGTTATTATTGTCAGGGTCCCTTTTTGTATCAGAAAATATGTAATTCAAAAAGATCAAAGCCTAAGTTATCAACCTTTGATTGTTCATTCTCAGTAGGCTGAAAATTTAAAGTTCTTACAGATTTTGAGCCTTACATTTTTGGAATCAGACTGAGGTCTCAGAATGGACAATTGAGCGATTGAAGGAGCAAGGAATTGTTCATCAAGTTAGACAAATAGTTTCCGCTGAAACAAATGGTATCAGAATGAACAAGAAGAAATTAATAATCCATGTCCATGTAAGGCCTGACAAGAGTAGCCAAAGAAGAGGCAAGAGCAGGAAATACAAGGCAAAAACCAAAACACAAAGACCAAACTATACATTAACAGGATCATTTGAAATATTGGCAAAGAGCATTCAACCTGTCCTGCAAGATGGCAGCAATATTCCTCAAAAGTCTGTTGTTTCTGTCTCTCTGGGTGAAGTAAATAACAGCACACCAAGCTAGCGTTGAGCACCGGAGCAATGACAGACTACCCTTTTAATCCTTGTTTGGCCCATTGGAACTGTGTATTTTGGTCTTGGACCTGCCTTTGGACTCCAGAGAACCACAACAACCCTTGCAGGCAAGATCCATAATCCTTTATCTTACCTTGCAAAACGGGCCCTGCAATTATTACTCATTATCCAAATAAAGATTAAAAAAATAGATAGAAAATTACACAACTTTCGGTTCTCTTCTCCAGATTGCTAGACAGAACATTGCAGAGCCCCCATTAACAAACTGTCCCTCTGTACTGTTTGATCTCTAGAACTCTCGCCTCTCTTGCTCATCTCCTATATATACAACTCACTCTGTACCTTTCAAATCACTCTTTAATCTACCTAAAAATTGCTGCATTACATATCAAAGCTCTTTCCTACTTCCCTTATAGCCCTTGAATTCTGTTTCCATCATCTACATTTCTATAACTTGAATCATGGATTTGAGGAACTTTGGATTCGATTCTCCCCTCTTGATAATATCGGAAGACATACTCGACATCCCTGAGGAGCACGAGAAGTCCCGAAACAACCCATCTCGAGCCTACGTTGGAGATGCTAAGGCCATGGCAGCCACTCCAGCAGACGTGATAGAGTATACCCGACATCGTACGTATTCGTTGTCGACATGCCTGGCATAAATCCAAGTGAAATCAAGGTACAGGTCGAATATGACAACGTTCTCGTGGTGAGTGGGGAGCGAAAGAGTGAGAAAGAGAAAGATGAGAAAGGTGGGGTCAAGTATATAAGGATGGAAAGGAGGGTTGGCAAGTTCATGCGGAAGTTCGCATTGCCTGATAATGCGAATATGGATAAGATATCAGCAGCTTGTCAGGATGGCGTTTTTAGAGTGACTGTGGAGAAGCTGCCTCCACCTGAACCTAAAAAGCCTAAGACTATTGAGGTTGCATGAGATGACAGCTATATATGTATGGTTATGTCATGTTTAATTTGCGACAACAGATGAGTGTGTTTCTTTGAGTTTGGATTTGGTTGTGCAAGGTTTGAGGTTTATGAATATCTATATAAAACAAAAAGTAAAGTTTGTTTTTTTTTTTTTTGTTTTTAATCGCATTGTTGATTTGTTTCTTTGCTTTCTTTTCTTTTCTTTCCTCTGTACTTTATTGGAGCCATTGGAGATGAAATACAGGATATTTGTTGCATATCCAAAGGACCAAAAGGGGCCGATGACTGTACTTCTTAACTGCGAACAAGAAATCTGTTCTCTGGTTTAAAAACAGAGGAAAGAAAGCACATGGGCGGACTTGTTTCATGACAAAGTACAATGATCTCCATTACAGCAAGTAAAAATCCAAGAACGATCTCCACTTTTTATCAAGAAATCCCAGTTTAAAATTTTGATCTTGCCCGCGTTGTGAGAAGTTGTATGGCATGAACCTTGCGAACTAACAACCAAATGGCTTAAGAAGTTAAGAAAGATTATGAGCTATGACCCAGTAATAATTAGTAAAATTGAAACTTCATAAACTAGCAGAACTTCGAATCCTGATACCTTATGAATTAAGGCATATGCCAATCGAATCTTCATAAATAAACCAAACAGAAACAGTCGATGTCCGCTAATATATAATTATCAATATTATTAGACAGATGTTGAGGTTATGGTGGGAGACCTGGTGCCAATGTTATAGCAATAGATAGGTGGAGAACCAACCATGCTGGGAGATTTTCTGATTAAACAACTGGGAAAAAAATACAGAATGAAGAGAGAAAGACTGAGTATATTTTGGCTTGTATTAGTCTTGACTTAATAGATTTATCGCTCTTGGAACTGGTGGATTGCTTTTTATTTGTTTAGGCAGCAGCATTGCAAAGATTTTTAATAGCTTTTCTCAAGTAGACTTGAAGGAATCTGAATGTAAGTTTCTATTTTTATATATTTCAAAGGTCAAAAACAGAAGGTTTCTGGATTAAAAAGCAATAATCATATGTCTTAATAAATGTTGGGTCTGCACAGGCCTGAGATATGGAACCTGCAAATGTTTCTGCTTTGGAGTAAATGCCTAAGCCAATCTGCAAACTTCTAGCCCAAATAGCTCGTCTTCGGTTTGAAATTTCAAGTTTTAAACTAAAAGCCTGAAACTCTTTGCTCAGCTCCAGGCTTGCTCTATGTTTCTGTTTGTTGTCTAGAGAACTAATTTCCTCTTTAAAATCTTTGCTTATATCTAAATCCCATCTGTCATTCATAGTACTAGCTAGAGGTGAGCATAGAATGGCGATGTGAACATTTTGCAATCTAATGGCCTAGATTCTATAACCCTTAACTGTACCCTATTGTGTTCGTTGAACATCCCCACAGTTGCCACGTCTCCTGAAGACCTACGCCACGTGGATTCTAAACATCCCAGTCGACAACCACGTATCCGGCGCGAAGACAACAATCACCGAATCCTTTAGACTTGCTGCTAAATTAACAAGTCAATTCATCTCTCCCAAACGAACAGCCCAATCCTTCCATGGATGTGTATCTTAAAAGCCTTGTTCATGCATGCGTACCCTTTCTCCGTAAACCAATTTACACGCAAACTAATTTGTCTGACACTGCAGAAGCAAATGGCTAATTGTTTCTCCAGCTAGAAATCAACCCAAGGAGTTGTCCTCCACCGTTCTAGAACACCATCACAAGAAGAAGCCTCCTTAAAAGACCCCAAACCGCTTCAGGCTTCACGCATCAAGCTTCTTCTAAAAGCCCACCCAAGGCAGCATTTACTCTTCACAGCCAACAAAGAAGCTTACATAATATACCAATTCCTTACATCTCTTTTTCTACCTGAAAGAAAGAAAAGAAGCCAGCAGAGAGAAGATGGATTGGAGAGTCCTGGGTTTTGATCCATCCGTCATTGACACCCTCCATGAGCTCCTGGACTTCCCTGACGATGCCGACAAATCCCAGCCACATCCCTCTCGCGCCTACATCCGGGACGCGAAAGCAATGGCGGCGACTCCAGCAGACGTGAAAGACTGCCCCAACGCATACGTGGTTGTGATTGACATGCCAGGGCTCAAACAAGACCAATGAAGGTCCAAGTTGAAGAGGGCAACTTCCTGGTGGTGAGTGGAGAGAGGAAGAGGGAGAAGGAGAAGGATCAGGGTGAAGTACATAAAGATGGAGAGGAGGCTGGGCAAGTATATGAAGAAGTTTCAGCTCCCAGAAAATGCTGATACTGAAAAGATATCAGCTTCGTATCAAGACGGGGTCTTGACGGTAACTGTGGAGAAGAAGCCACCACCAGAGCCCAAGAAACCCAGGACCGTTGAAGTGCAAGTGAGTTGAGAGTCAAAGACACTGCTGCAGCCTGCAGTAAACCATAGTTGAGGCTAAAATAGGAGCAGCTCGAGACTGCTCGCTTTTGCTTGGTGAGTGTAAGAGAGTGTTGTAAATTATCGTTTCGTGTGGCCTTTATTTATTTTTTGTGTTTTTGGTGTCAAGACTCTAGAGAGGCTTTGGAGGAGCTGACTGGTTCTGTTCTTTTAATCCTGCTCTTTGAATGTCTATGTAAACAGTGAAAAGCATACGAATATATGCTTTAATCATTCTGGGCACAAAAAACGTTCTTGAGTCTTGTTCTGTCGAAATAAAATCTCCCAATTTGGAAGAGATAAGCCCACGGAGGCAGCAGCCCAACCCTTTCACTTCTTTGAAGGGCAACAGGCAGCAATGGCCCAAAGTATTTTAAATACTAATATTATCTACAATTTTTAAAATTAAAGTTGCTTTTAATTTGAAAAATAACGAGATTCATCTTTACCTAATCCAAAGAGAAAAGTCAATGGAAACGAAACCCATGTAGCCCATAAGAGAATTCTGGACCATCCAAAACGTACTGGAAGGCGGAAACCATTCGAGAAAGAATGTAACACAAGCTTCTGGAAATCTCCCGACAGTTTCCTCCAGAAACTTCCCACCCAACCTTATAAATTCGCAAAACCATCCACACTGCCTAAGACATTTGAGTAACTTCGCATCCGGAAAGCCAAAACAAAACTCTAACAATCTCAGCCAAGATTCCTGCAGCGAAGAAGAGGAGAATGGATTTCAGAATCATGGGTTTGGATTCTCCATTGTTGCAAACTCTCCAGCACGTGATGGACCTCCCCGACGACACGGAGAAGACCACTAACCTACCATCAAGGACCTACGTGCGTGATGCCAAGGCCATGGCAGCGACCCCAGCGGACATCAAAGAGTACCCCAACTCTTATGTGTTCATCGTCGACATGCCGGGGCTGAAATCAGGGGACATCAAGGTTCAAGTGGAGGACGACAATGTGCTGTTGATCAGCGGAGAGAGGAAGCGAGAGGAAGAGAAAGAAGGAGCCAAGTACGTGAGAATGGAGAGGCGGGTCGGCAAGCCATGAGGAAGTTTGTGATGCCCGAGAATGCTAATACTGACGCTATCTCTGCAGTGTGTCAAGATGGGGTTTTGACTGTCACTGTGGAGAAATTGCCACCGCCTGAGCCCAAGAAACCTAAGACCATTGAGGTCAAGATTGCTTGAGAGAGTCGTAGTTTGGGGAGGTTTTATGGGCCATGGTTATAGCCTATGAGGCGTTAAATAATTTGGGTTTATCTGTAGTTCTGTGTTTCCTGTGCTGGCTTCTGAAATGTGTGTGTGTTTTCGGTTTGGCAGTTCCACTCCTGTTGAATGTTGGGTTATGATGAAATACCTATGGTTTTAATATTTTTCTTGTATGTTTTCTGTTCTCCTACTTAATATGCAATGCCAGTAAAATTTTAGTTGTCAATGATGAATGAATGTTTTCATGTCTTAATTAATGTGAAATGAAGTTCGAATAGAGTTTTTGCGATTCAAGAAAATGAAACAATGGCTGCAAACTCATATCTTACCTACAGCCTTGGAGAGAGTTGAGTTTGGGGAGGTTATATAGTTACTGGGGTTTAGAGTAGTTCCAGTGAGTTTTCTGTTCTGAGTCTCAGAGGTTAGTGCTGTTGTCTTCATATGGTCAAAAATTGTTTAGTTGGTAAATGTTGGAGTTCGTTTGATAGCAATGGCCATCTAATGCGGATGTTATTGAAAATGAAGGCATATTTAGTCCAAAAATTAGTCAAAGAGAGTTTATGCTATTCAAAAGGGCAAGAGGAAAGAATCCAAGCCGTATAGAAACTCTAAAATAATGACAAAAACAACTTTGGGAAACACAGAATTAAGCACGTTCTCTCTGAATAAAGATATTAAGTGGAAAATAATTTTTTATTACAGCCCTGACTACGGTGTATATTTCAGGTCAATCCTCAAATTTGGTCTACAATATAGCCACATCTTAAACATCCCACCAAACAGAGTTGGCACCTTTTTCTTGTTCAGACGTCCCTTTCTTTTACTAAGCCGAGAAGAATCAGGAGTAGCTCTATCAGGCTTCAACATGGTTCTATCTTTCCTGACAAACAGAGCAATGAAAAAGCCTTCTTTGTCCTCAACTGGGTCAGTCCGGAGCAAATGTTCAGCTACATGGCAATAATCCAAGTGAGGATTTAACTCATGAATTCATTCGAGATCAACAAGGATATTATCGGAACAAAATACTTACAGCCTTCAAACACTGGAAGACCGCGTCGATTCCACTGGGGAAAAGGAGTTGCTAGTTGGAAACCATGGGATGCAGCAAGTGGTAAAATAGACTTGACAACATCTTCATTTTCAATTTGGTGGATGGAACACGTGCTGTAAACAACTCTCTCAACCTGTGGAACTGTAGTAGAAAATGTCAAAAACTTATATCCAACTGTTTTTAAAACTTGGAAAATAAACAAACACTGTGAGGAAATAAAAAAAGAAAAAACTTAACAGCATAGTGCATGTGCTAGAGCTTTCTTTTGAAAGGAGGCCAGCTTGTTCAGTCTCTCTTCTTCATCAGTATTTGCTGCTTGGCCTGCATAATTCTGATATGGACATAAGAGAGAAAAAACGGAACAACTCTAGGCAGAGCTATAATCAATGAGCGGCGTATAATTCATCTTCTTTATGATTGGAAAAATCAAATTTTAAGGACTGCAAATCCAAAAGGATACATGAAGTGGAAGAAAACGTCATATGGCAGTGAAAACAGAAATATACATAGCAATACCCAATGAGAAATTTACATCATCAATACATACTGTTTTCCAGGAATTTTAATACTTGGAAAGGTAATTAGGTAATAGCTCTAGGTTTTGCCATGATACCGAAATTCAAAAATGAAATGAAGAGACTATTAACATTAAAAGACTCAGAAAATCAAGACTCTTACATACAACAAAGATGTATAAAATAACTAACAGATATACGAATCAGCAAGTTACCTGCAGCGTAAGATGGGAGCAAATGGTCCAATCTGTCAGCAACAGTACCAGATCCGGAGCAGGAAGGATCCAAAAGAATAGCACAGACCTGCAACGCTAACTTTTCTTGAGAGTGCAAAGAATAAATAAAACCATAGAGTCAAAAGAAATCTAGCGATGGTCAATTTGAAGTTTCCAACCAATGAACACATCTTGAGCACATTTACAGGATGAGATTCTTAGGCTTAACGGAAGGCCCAACTGGTTATAGTCTAAAGTAAAGTGCAAACATCTGTGTCTTTAGAAAACGGCATGTAAAACCTAAAGAATATTAACTACTGCCAGGACATAAAGCAGATCATGCTTACCTTTGAGTAGAGAGGATCTTTTGGGTCTAAGCTTAGAAAATCGCCATGTAGAACTTCAATATCTACAACCCAGTTAAGAATGGCAAACGACCACAAAGGTCTTCATACAGCAACTAGGAGAATGATCACAAACTACGCTAGTAGATGACAACAAACGAAAATGGAAAATCACAAAAATGAGGATAAAATGTCAAAAAATGCTCTACAAACAGAGCAGCTTCCAAGTCATATATTGCAGGCCAGACCACAATAGCAACCGGGGTTAAAGAGAATAAGTATTAGTACTTAAGTAGATAAATCTAAAAGATCAAGCAACATAGGATACTGTGTGCACCAGATAGTCTGACAGTGTCTTCTAAACGTTTTATCCTTTCCTTATTCAGTTCACAGGCTATAACCCTTCCTTTCCCTCTCATAAGAGCAGCAAGATGGACAGTTTTGTTCCCTGGAGCTGCACATGCATCAAGAACCTTCACAGAAAATTACAATTAAGCAAACGATAAATAACTGCCAACATAAAATTCAGCACAAACCTTATGAACATCTACCATAGAACCAAAATAGAGAATGATAATTTTTAAACAGAGACAAATGTACGAGAAGGATGACTGTATATACAAGGAACAAAACAAAAAGAATAGATAAAGTAGCAATTTTGTCTAGCCAAAACACTAAATAAACAAGCAATATGCAATAAGCATAACTCACCTCCCATCCTGGTTCAGGACCCAGAGCTGCTGCCACCATAGAACTCGCTTTCCCCTACATGATTGCAAATTTGAATCAAACCAAAAAATGAGAAACTGCTCTCATTGCATAGTGACAGTAATTTTCCAACAGTAGACAACTATAATGCTCACTTATTCATTAATTTATTAAACACTTACTTGCATAAACACGCTTCCATTCACGACCAAAGGATGATCATGAAGATCACATTTTGGTGGGAGTTTTAACAAGTCAGGAACCAGGTCATCTTTCTGCACCTATTAAAAGAAAAGAAAGATTGTAACAAAATAAAATACATCAATAACTGACCTCAAAAGTAGATGCACACTAGAAATAGTAGCAAAGTATGTAAAAACATAAGAAAGAATAAAGAAGAGGTTGCTACAAAGGCAAACATGAACTGTGGAAATACCAAAAATAAGATAATCTAACAAGCAGCAATGAGTTAGTTTCATCAGAGATTGACTCTGGTTAATGGCACTTCACTCATATTACTTCATCGTACCTATGAAAACATTCAAAATAATTCAATATACCCCACTAAGGACCTCAAAAGTAGATGCACACTAGAGATAGCAGCAAAGTATGTAAAAACATAAGAAAGAATAAAGAAGAGGTTACTACTAAGGCAAACATGAACTGTAGAAATACCAAACATAAGATAATCTAACATGTAGCAATGAGTTAGTTTCATCAGATATTGACTCTAGTTAATGGCATGTTGCACTTTCTTCACTCATATTACTTCATCGTACCTATGAAAACATTCAAAATAATTCAATATACCCCACTAACGTTTAGCTTTAGCATAGTTTCCAGAAAGTACCATGTATTGTTTCCCTAATTCAATTAAGGCAGAATCAACACCCAATTTAAGTGTGTTCACCCGAACATAGCGGGGCTTTGAAACATCTGCAATAGACAAATAATCTGTACATCAAGGAATGATTTCAAAAGAAACAGAATGATGCACTTGGATGTAAGAAAACATCTTAACGCATACCAGGAGTCTGATAAAGATATATCAAGTCTTCAATGCGCTTCACTTTTTTTCTCACTAAAAGCCGAGCTAATGCAGACTGAAGAGAAACTTTCCTCTGTACGAGGAATTTCTCCACATCACCAACAAATGAAATTTCCTAGAAATCAGAATTTATACCACAACATTACCACACAAATGCAACAATAAAGATACAGAACCCTGGGAAACATAGCACATTAAAGTATATACCATTTAGCAAACAATTGCCAAACTATTACTTAAAAGAAATTGGTACAACTCCTCAGCATAACTCACTTATTCACATTAACTGAGTGATACAAAATGAGAAATTCAGGACGTCAGCAGAAACAAAGCTAACCAATACCATATTCACTTATTTGCATTCAAAATAAAGCTTTTCTTAGAAGGCAGAAGATTCTGTAAGCCTGAATACAAAGCATCATCATCTGACATAGAACGGCGTAATTATCACTAAATTTATTACGTCTTAAGGGACTAGAACTTCTGCTTTCTCCTACTATGGAACCATTAGAATTCAAGAATTTGCTCATGTTTCAGAGAAGGTTCATGCATTGTCCCGAATGTGGCCAATATGACGAGAGAAAATGTAAAATGTGGAATATGTGAAGCTAATGAAGATACAAAAATATTACCTGACTAAAAAGAATATCATATGTGATTATGTAAACCAATTCCTCTTGCCTCTGCAACATCACAATAATAATCACCATTATCAAACACTTCTACTAAGCAGCAGTTACCTACCACTTACCACCATTCCAGTTAAAAAATTACACGCAAGGGACGGTAGAAAAAATTCATTTCTATTGTTTTCCTCAAAACTCA